TCACTTTTCCTTCATTAATTAGCAAGTTTCTAAGCCTAAATCATGAAATCAAAGTAGAAATTAGGGGTTTTGGGTAGAGTTAGGGTTTTGAGAATTTTGGGTGATTCAACCTCTATTTGGGGTCGAATCTTAAAACAAATTATATGTTTGGACTCGTGGGGTTATGGGTGACTAGGTTTTGGTCCGAGCCTCGTGTTTGAACCATGTGGGCCCGGTGTCGAATTTTGATATTTTTGGAAGAATGCTAGGAAATTCATATCTAGGCTATGGGATGTTGCCATTGAGTCTTTATTGATACTATTGAATTAATTATGCCTAGATATCATTGTTTCGGAGTCGGATTGTAGAGGAAAGGCGGTATTTGAGGATTGATTGCTATTCTTTGGACCGAGGTAAGTGTTTGATCTAACTTTGGCTTGAGGGAATAGGATTAGAGTGTTATTACTTGCTAATTGCTAAATGAATCGAGTATGGTGTATAGGCATGGTGACGAGTATCTATACACCGGTGTCTAGCATGACCGTGGGTCCTTATATGTACTTATCCTGATATTGTTATGACTCTTCCATGTTAATTGATGAATTCTGTGCAATGTGAAGAGTATGAGGACTAATTATGAATTGTAAATCCTTTGGAGCGTTGGCTCGAATGATAAGAAGACTATTGAGTAAGAAATGAAAGAAATAGAATGTGATATGAATAATCCCTTGCCGGGATGGTTTGAGTACATTGATTATCTCCCTTGCCGGGATGTGAGAGTATTGTTGTTGCTCCCTTGCCGGGATTTAGCTGATAATTTTGTAATTCGCTTGCCGGGACATTTCTTATTATTTGTTTATCCCCTCGCCCCGTTTGGTTGTGACTACTGTTTGGGTGAGGAAGAGTGATAATGCACGAAGGGTCATTCCGTGCCATGTTTTGATTATATTTGCACGAAGGGTCATTCCGTGCCATGTTTTGATTATATTTGCACGAAGGGTCATTCCGTGCCATGTTTTGATTATATTTGCACGAAGGGTCATTCCGTGCCATGTTTTGATTATTTATGCACGAAGGGACATTCCGTGCTCTGATTTGATATTAGTTGCACGAAGGATCATTCCGTGCCATGATATGAGAGTTACGTGAGGGAAGGCACGAAGGGTGATGCCGTGCACTTTATTTGATTGCTTTTGGTGAGAATGAGAGTAAAAGCACGAAGGTTGATGCCGTGCAACTGTTGACTTTCCTGCTCTCATTAATTATTGTTATTGCCCTGTTTCTTATTTAAATTGTGGACTTTATATCCGGACTGTACTCCCCCATAGTATGCTTCCCTCCCTCTTAACTGTTTAATATCTGTACTCTTTCCTTGTATTGCATATATATACATTGAACTGCACAGGTTGATTTGGTAGTCCTGTCTAGCCTCGTCACTACTTCGCCGGGGTTAGGCCAGGCACTTACTAGCACATGGGGTCGGTTGTGCTGATGCTACACTTCTGTGCTTTTTGCACAGATCGCGGTACCGGAGAAGCTTTTGGACCACAGCAGTAGTATATTGATTGGGAGCTGACTTCAGTCCAGGGACTTACGAGGTAGCCTAGCTGGCGTTCGCAGGCTGGAGTCCCTTTCCGTATTTTTTGTTTGTTTTCATTGCACCGAGACAGACATTATGCATTTTCTATTCTGACTTGTTTGTAGCACTCTTTAGTGGTTCGTGAGATAGCGACTCCAGTCTTGGGCAGTGAAATATTAGACTTCCGCATTTGGTTTTCAGTTATTTATGTTTTAAAAGACTTCCGCATTTATTTAAAGACTCTTTATTTTATCATTGTTGTGTTGTTATCCGAAAATGTTTAAATGTTTGGCTTGCCTAGCTCCAACAGTAGGCGCCATCACGACTCCCGATGGTGGGAAATCTGGGTCGTGACAACACCATAGGCCAAAACCTCGGGACTATCAATTCCTAATTGATAAGATGAGAAATAAACTTGCCTCATGGAAAATGAAATTCGTTAGTTTGGCAGGAAGAACAACCCTCGCAGCACCATGCCTTAATTCCATCCCAAACCATTACATGCAATACACCCTCCTCCCCAGAAAAACCCTAAAAGAGATTGATAAAGTCCAAAGGGACTTCACATGGGGTAGCACAATAGAGAAAAGGAAAATTCACATGGTGAACTGGCCCACCATATGCCAACCTAAAAAATATGGTGGATTAGGCATCCACAATGCTCTTAATAAAAATCTATGCACTCTAGCTAGCTTAAGTTGGAGACTTCTCACAAATGCACTAATTCCATGGGCAAAGCTTATCATCTCTTACTATTGCAATAGTTCCTCTACGAATAGATCCTCCTACATTTGGAAAAGCATTTGCAAAGGGTGGGACATCTGATCCAAGGGCATCACATGGTCCCCCCACCTTCAAGCAAATCATAACCTATGGGAGGGCAATTGGATACCAAATTTTGGTAACCTAAGGAACCATGTAATAGGCCCCCCTTCGGCCAAGGTTATTTCTACAAAAATAAGAGATATCTTCGATGGTACCAATTGGAATTTAGACTGCTTAACCCTCTCCCTTCCTCCGGACTTACTATCTAATATCACTAAAATAAAAGCCCGTCTTAAGGGTCCCTCAATAGACTTACCTATTTGGTCTCTCACCACTAAGGGGGTTTTTACTACTAAATCTTGTTATACGCTTCTGGAATCTCCTTATAATACTAACTTAGACTTCGAGTGGATCTGGAAATTGGACTGTCCCAATAAAACTAGATTTTTCCAATGGCAATGCCTTCACAATCGAATCCCTTGCAGAAAATATCTTTCACAGATTGGACTAAACATTGACCCTAACTGTCCTATCTGTAAAAGCCCTTATGAAGAATCCATCGAGCATATCTTCCTAGAATGCAAAGCTGTCAACAAACTCTGGACCGACCTTCAATGGAACCACCTTATTAACCAAAATGGGAAACATTGGCTTATCCAAATAAAGGACTTCAACTTTCCTCTTAAACATGATTTCCTAAAATGGAACGCTTACTTTCCCTTCATCATTTGGCATATCTGGGTTAATAGAAATAGTAATATTCACAATAACACTTCTAACCAAATCAGTGGTCATCAAATCATGCAAAGGGCTATAGAATTTAAATTACTCACAGAAAAAATCTCTACTCACCCTCCCAAATTACTAATAAAAATCAACTGGTTCAACCCCCATAGGGGTTGGTTCAAACTGAATGTAGATGCCAGTTTTCATAGCTATAATCAAAATTGTGGTTTAGGTGGTGTTTTCAGAAACGCAAATGGTAGCTGGGTAGTTGGTTTTACAAAACTAACCCATGCAAATGGCTCACTAGCAGCAGAATTGAAAGCTCTACGAGAAGGTCTAAGGACAGCAAAGGAGTGGAATCTCTTTCCACTTGAAATAGAGACAGACTGCTCAGAGGTAATCCAGGCCTTACAAGCTGGTAATAAATTATTTAATAAAACTGTTAATGATTGCAAGTCCTTAATGCACCAGCAGAGGGTTACTCTCCAACACACTTTCATGCAGGGGAATAGAATTGCTAACCAACTAGCAAAAGGGAGCCTAGGAAAGGATAACCAAGTTTTTGGAGCAGCAGGAAGAAGTAATGCTCAGTAGACCAGTAAAAAAGTTTTTGTTGAATCACCTTTTGATGTAATAGATTTTGTGGAAAATGATAGACTAGAAACTACTACCCACGAAGAACTGGTATGCAATGAGGCTTGCCAACTGTTAGCAAGCTTAGGGAACCAATGTGTCTTTCGTGATGCATCTTTTGTTAATCATGTACTTGACGTTCCTTAGTTATTAATATATCTATTTCCTGTTTGCTAAAAAAAAGATATAAGGAGAAGTTTGAATATGGCTGAATCTCATGTTTGCTTCTCTAGGTTTCTTGTAATACTTTTCAGCCTACTCCTCATTGCCTCAAATGGTGAGTTTTAAAAAAAAGAGATGTAAATCACTGGCTTTGTTTCCATTATTTGATCCCTTTTAATAGATATATTTTGAATCATCTAAAATTTTAAGTTGTTACATACTGTCCGTTATTTATATATAGTATATATAACATGTCTTTCCACGTCCGAGCTTGACCTTTTTTTTAAATATGTGGGCCAAACACAAAATTCTATTTATAATGGGTGTCAACAAGGAACAGGAGTCTTGGAGCGACTGTATGACCAATAGGTCACGGGTTCGAGTCGTGAAATCAGCCACTGATGCTAACTTGCATCAGGGTAGGATGTGTTGGAGTTACATGATACATTTGGACGTGATACATTTGGACATCTAATTCTGGGTTGTAATACATCAGTAGTTTACTTGGGCCACAGGTGTAATTGGTCAGTAGTGTAATTGGGCCACGACCCATTGTAATTATTTCCCTGTATTCTTTTGTAGTAGAAAATCAGGCCCATTGTATATATAGGCATGGGAACATTCTAGAGAGGGACAGATCATTATTATTCAATACAAAAAAATTTGCCCAAAATTCTTCTCTCATTTTCTCTCTGTAAACTCTAACATAGATTCACCATTTTTGTTCGATCTCTGATCTTTACATGGTATCAGAGCCATGAAATCATCGATCCTTCACCTCGTAATCTTAGCTGTGTTGATTTTGGAGATCTTATTTCATTAGCTACCGAACTTTCTTCGTCTGGTCTTAGCGGTCAGAGTTTCGAGTTTTTTGTCTCTTCTACTGGTTTCTTTGCTCGCTTACATTGGAACATCATCGATATCTAAGGAATTTGTGCGATTCTTTCTTCAATTGGAGTTTTTGGAGGATTTTCTTCGAAGCTAGGGTTTTCAGTTCTCAGCAATTTTGTGCGTTTCATCTTCAAGGCCTTTTACTTCTTCAGGTCGCGAAGAAGTTTGGTACACTCTTTCCTATTTTTCTATATTCGTTGATTCTGTTTTAAGAGATTAAGATTTGTTGGAGATCAGTTGTTTCTGAGCATTTTTTTTGACAATCATGGGTGATTCCAGTTTAAATACTGGTCCTTGCGTTCCTGAACCTACTAGTCCTTTATTTTTACTTCCTTCCGATGTGCCGGGAGTGTCTCTTGTTAGTGTTCCTTTCTCTGGGACAGGTTTTGGGGGTTGGAAGCGAAATATGATAGTTTCTCTGTCTACTAAAAACAAAATAGGGTTCATAGATGGCTCGTGCGTTAAGAGTGTACAATACTCAGAAACAGCTGAGAGTATTTGGAAAGAATTAAACAATAGATATGGGACTGTTAGTGGGACTAAAGTCTTTGAGATTAAAAGAGAGCTTTCCTCCACTTATCAAGGATCCCTAGATGTTGCTTCTTACTTTAATAAGCTTAAAAAACTTTGGGATGAACTGGAGATTATGCGCAGTAGTCATGCTAATGCTTGTGCTGCTAAAGAAGGTCTCCAGAAAGAAAAGGAAGAAGATAAAGTTCATCAATTTCTAATGGGCCTAAATGAAGTCTACGTAGGAGTTAGAAGTAATATCTTAATGATGCACCCATTGCCTTCCATTGATAATGTTTATAATATACTCCTACAAGATGAAAAACAAAGACAAGTTCTTCCAAATCCACAAGCTTATTCTGAATCAGCCTCTTTTCATGCAAACTCCAATAAGTTTCCTCCTCAATTTTCACCTCAGCAACAATATCCTCAGAAATTAAAATTTGATCAGTTTAATCAAAGGGTCAATCCTGATCACAGCACGGCTTCACTTTTTTGCAAGTACTGCAAGAAGCATGGCCATGTAATTGAAAAATGTTACAAGTTGCATGGGTTTCCTCAGAATTTCAAGTTTACAAGAGGTAAAAAGTTTGGTACTGCTGCTACTGTTAAAGGGCAGCCTCCTGGTGTTTCTAATCATACTCCTTCAAATGCTGAGGATTCATTAATACCTGGTTTAACTAAAGAACAGTATACTCAACTGATGAGCCTTCTTCAACAATCTGGTCTCAATGAGTCATCATCTCAACCTATCATCATGGGTTCTGCAAACTTTGCTGGTAGTTCTTCTTCCTTACCTGTGTGTCTGAATGGTACTTCTAATGTACGCATGTTGACTAATGTAGCTGGAAGGATATGGATAGTGGATTCTGGGGCCACTGACCATATGACTTCAAATAAAAACCTTCTTTTCAACATTACTCCTCTGCCTATCCCTTATCTAGTCCCTTTTCCTAATGGTTACAAAGTGAAGGTCACATGTACTGGATCTCTTACTTTGTTACCTTCCCTCACTCTTCATCATGTTTTATACATACCTACTTTCCACTATAATTTGATTTCAGTAAGTAAACTGATTGATCAATTCAGATGTTATATTTTATTCACATTCCATTCTTGTATACTTCACAGGCCCATTCTATGAAGAAGCTTCTGGAGCTTGGTAGAATGGACCATGGACTATAAATAATTTACTTCAACCAACCTACTTCTCCTGCATCTGTTTCCCAAAATGTCATGGATAGTATTAAACAGCCTATTCCTCTTCCTGTTGTTTCTGATTCATCTGTTTCAAGTTTTAATACAATAGCTGAAGTGCATGATTTTCCTTTGAATGCACATATAGATGTCCTGAACTCTCTTCATGATCCTGTTTCATTACCAAATTGTAACAGTAACCAACATATAAATAAAAATGATGTTTTTTGGCATCACAGACCGGGTCATGTTCCTTTTGCACAAATGAAAAATATACCTTCTATTTCTTCTTCTTTACCAGCAAAACAGTCCTTTATTTGTCCTATTTGCCCTTTAGCAAGACAACCTAGACTGTCATTTCCAAACAACTCTACTCATTCTACTGCACTGTTTCAACTTATACATGTAGATACTTGGGGTCCCTACCACACTCAATCATATTCTGGGCCAAGATACTTTCTGACTATAGTTGATGATTACAGTAGGGAAACTTGGACACATTTGGTGCACTCCAAAAGCTATGCCTTTAGCTTAATTAAGGCATTTATAGCAATGGTTAAAACACAATTTCAACTTCCTACAAAGTCATTAGAAGTGATAATGCCTTAGAGCTTGGATCTTCTAATTCAGCTCTTCAGTTCTTTTCTGACACTGGAATAATCCATCAAACAACTTGTCCTCACACCCCACAACAGAATGGGGTGGTAGAAAGAAAACACAAGCATCTACTTGAAACTTCAAGAGCCTTACCAAATTTTGGGGTGATTGTGTTTTAATAGCAACTTACCTTATCAATAGGTTTCCCTCTTCAGTTTTACACAACAAGACACCATTTGAACTTCTTTATGGTAGTCCACCTTCTTACTCTCACCTAAAACCTTTCGGCTGTCTATGTTATGCTACTGTACCTAAATGCAATAGGGACAAGTTTCAGCCAAGAGCTTCTCCTTGTGTGTTCATTGGATATCCCTATGCTAAAAAGGGTTACAAACTCTTCAACTTAAATACCAAGTCAGTTTTGTACTCCAGAGATGTCATTTTTCATGAATCTGTATTCCCCTATCAATTGATACACTCTACTTCTTCTTCTTCTACTCCAACTTCCTCCTTTCCCATGTACTCTTTTGATACACATTCTGATTTGCATAGTTCCAGTCCACCTGGACCTTCTTCTCCAACTGTCTCCATCCCATCTGACTCACCTGCTCCTGATCCTTCTTCACCACCTGAACATGATCCAGTTCAGCCCACCTTCCCAATACATGAGTCAGAACCTCAAACTCATTCATCTCCTGTGATTGCTGTCACACCCCTTTTTCTACCCCAAAAAGGATAAAGATATGTTGATTTGTGGGTTAAAGAGTTTTTCTAATTAAAATGACAATGTTGAAATAGGAATTATTTTGTTTACAGAGCCTCCACTTGGAATCGATTTTTGGGTGTTCCAAGTCACCTTTTATTTGAATCCCTATTCAAAGGAAGATTTGACTCTTTTATATCGGTCCGCGGAAACAAAGTTCGGGTAAGGAATTCTGTTGACCGGGGAGAAGGTGTAAGGCATTTCCCGAGTCCCGTGGTTCTACCACGGTCGCTTTATTGACTTAAAACTTGGCTTGAATTAATATTGGACAAAACGCGATTTATATGATTTTTATATTTTACTTATCCGCTTTTATTTTTTGATTATTAGAATTACTAAACAAAATAATTTAGATAATATTTCGTTGTCATAACCACGCTACGCAAGTGAATGCGTGATCGAATAAAAAATTAATTAAACTTGTCATAATTGCGCCTCGTAAGCGAATCTGAAATCATGACAATCAATTATTTGTAGTACTTTTGAGAAATTACTACATTTGAGAGAATTAATTCTTGAAAATTATTAAAAGTTATTATCGCTCTACGCAAGCGAATCCGCAATTATAGGAAATAATTAAATAAAAAAAACTAACTAAAACTATAGGATAAGGTATGAGATTATTCAATTAATTTATTGAATGTTAAACATCACGCCATGCAAGCGATTCCGGGAAGTTAAAGCGTGCCTACTATTTGCCTAGCGTTTAAATTAATTAATTAGAGGTGATTAAATTATTAGATTACTATTACTAAGAGAAAGTACCACTTTTAGTTAATCTATTTGAGCAAACATGGCTTATAATCGATTGGACCAACTTTGTTTATAAAGGTTAGTCTAGTACTGTCACGACCCAATTCCCGACCCCGGCCGTGATGGCGTCTCTCGTGAAGACAAGGCCAGCCAGAACAACGCAAATACCTCTTTTAAAGTAATTAATTAACATTAACAATTCTAACACATGTTTAAGATAACCATAAACGCGGGAACAACGATAATAACAAGGGGAAACCATCCCGACACAGCCCAAACCGGGGTGTCACAAGTCATGAGCTACTACTGAGTTTTCTATAAGTCTACAAAGTACGAAATCCGGTACAATAGTCTGAAGAAAACATAAATGATAGAGGATATGGGAGACAAGGGGTTGCGGACGTCAACAGCTACCTCGTAACTACAAATCGCTGCCTGGTCTGGAAGGATCAGTGCTCAGGTGCGGACTCTGCTATGCCTGAATCTGCACACATGGTGCAGGGAGTAATGTGACTACTCCAACCCAGTGAGTAATAATAATAAATAATAACCGAAGGCATGAAAACACATAAGTGCACAAGGCAATTCTATATCAGGCAGTAAATCACTTAAAGCAGTAAAACAGTAAAGAGTCAAATGAAATCTCCTTTTAAAAACAGGTAAATCAGGTAAACAACAAGTAAATAGTGAGTAGGAATCTGCCCCTCGGGCCCAATATAAATCGCTCAAAACAGTGTCAGCCCCTCGGGCTCATTATCAGTCACTCATAGCATCAGCCCCTCGGGCTCACTCTTAGTCACTCAGCATAATATCAGCCCCTCGGGCTCACTCTCAGATCATATGGGTACCCGCGCTCACTGTGGCTGTGCAGACTCCGGAGGGGCCCCTTACGGCCCAAGCGCTATATCAACATAAGGCCTAAAAGCCTTCTTACATCACTCATATGGCCTGAAAGCCTCCTCACATCACTCACAAGGCCTGAAAGCCTCCTCACGTCACTCAAGCCACCTCGTGGCATATATATGTATCTCAGGCCCTCGGCCTCATATCACTCAGCATATCCTCACATATGGCCCTCGGCCTCACTCAGTCGAGAAATCATCATAAGCCCCTCGGGCATCAATAAAATAGTAGTGCTCAGCCCAAACAACAGTGGAAATATCATTTAAGTCTCAAAATTCAATTAAAGCGGCTGAGTTTGCAAAATAGTATAATCAATAGGACTGAGTTCAAGTAGTATATAAAAATAGTGAGAAAACAGTGATAAAAATCCACGAAGGATTCAAGTAGTCGGCATGAAGCCCAAAATATGGCAATAGGCCCAAGTCATGTTGATAATAAACACATCTCAGTCAAATACGCGGTAAAAACATAAGTTGGGACGGACCAACTCACAATCCCCAATAGTAAACAACCCCGCGCTCGTCATTAAGCGTGTGTTTCACCTCAATATAGCACTACGTTGTGCAAATCCGGGGTTTCAAATCCTCAGGACATCATTTACTATCATTACTCACCTCATGCCGGCCAAAATCCTAGCTCGCTATGCCCTTGCCTCCCAAATCGGCCTCCTCGCTCGTCGAATCTGATCAAAACCACAACGAATACATCACAATAGGCTAAGGGAACATAACCCAATCGAAAAGAATTGAAAAACATCGAAAATCACGAAATTTGCAAAATCCGAGCCCCGGGCCCACTTCTTGAAACTCAGAAAATTTTACATCAAGGGATTCCTTATCTCGCCACGAGTCTATACATACCAAGAACTCCCAAATCCGAGCTCAAATGACCCATCAAAACCCAATTTGAAATTTCAAAACTCAAGCCCTAGTTCTTCCCCCTTTTGATAAATTTTTATGAATTTCTAGGTTGATTCTACAACTAAATCATGTTTTTAGATCATAGGACTCACCTCCAATCAATCCCAGTCGAAACCCTCTTCAATTCCCGTCCAAAAGCTCTCAAGGATGCTCAACAATGGTGGAAAAATAACCTAGCTCGCGGAACAAAATGACTTAAATCTATTCTGCCCAGGTGACTTTTTTACTCTATGCGAACGCGAGGGCTCTCTCGCGTTCGCGATGAACAAAACTTGCCTCCGACCAAATTACCCTTCGCGAACGCGGTGCCTTACCCGCAAATGCGATGCTTTAACTGTTACAACTACGCGAACGCGAGCCTGATGCCGCGAACGCGAAGAACAATGCCAACGGGGCCCAAGCCCCTCCTACGCGAACGCAAACGGGTTGACGTGAACGCGAAGCTCAACCCCCTTTGCCTTCCGCGAACGTGAGCCTCTAACGCGAACGGGAAGGCTTAAATTCCTGCCTTCCAAATCCTTCTTCTCGAATGCGAGGCCCCTTACGCGAACGCGAAGAGATAAATCTCTGCAACACCTGAAATGAAAAATCTGCAACTCCTCAAAGCCAAAAATGATCCGATTGACCATCCGCAACTCACCCGAGGGCCCTGGGACCTCAACCAAAAGCACCAACGCATCCTAAAATATCATTCAAACTTGTTCCAATCATCAAAACACCTCGAACAACACTAAAACCATCAATTCTCATCGAATTCAAGCCTAAGTTCTTCTGAAACTTCCGAAACACGCATTCGATCAAAAACCCAACCAAATCACCTCCGAATGACCTGAAATCTTACACACACATCCCAAATCACTTAACAAAGCTACAGCAACTCTCGGAATTCCATTCCGACCCTCTGATCAAAATCTCACCTATCAACCGGAATTCGCCAAAATACTAACTTCGCCAATTCAAGCCTAATTCTACACCGGACCTCCAAAATCACTTCCGATCACGCTCCTAAGTCACAAATCATCCCCTGAAGCTAACTGAATCACCGAAAATCACATCCGAGCCCTCTAACTCATAAGTCATATCCGGTTGACTTTTCCAAACTAAACCTTCCTTAAAGAGACTAAGTGTCTCATTTCCTACCAAAACCTCTCCAAACCAGCTCGATCACATAAGATACGGATAATGAAGCATAAAGAAGCTAAAAATGGGAAAAACGAAGCGCTAACTCATGAGACGACGGGCCAGGTCATCACAAGTACATTACTAAAACGGAAATCGGCCAGCAGTAACTCAGGTAAAAATGGGCCAGTAGTGACTTAAAAAGAAAAATGGATAAATAAACTTTTAAAAGGCATTGGGCCTGTTGGGAAGAACCAACTTCGTCCCATTATTGGGCTTCTGGAATGACACAAGTTGAAAAACCAATGGCCATCAGCTGTATATTAGCACAGGTAGCCCACTTGGGCTAAATTATACGTCTAGCCCATATTACTCTAAAACCAAAACCTTCAATTTATTTGCAACCTCAACCACTTGTTTAATGACTTAACCATTTTTTAAAAAATAAAGGTCTTTACAGGAATGGTCACATGTAGAATCTAAAATTTATCACAATAAATTATGGTCACATGTAGAATCTAAAATTTATCACAATAAACTAAAGCTTTCAGGCA